TGTAAATTCACTGTAACCAGTTCTAATTTTGCATCGACAGCTTAAAGTGTACTGCTTTCCTAATATATTGTCGTAACGACGTTGCAAGCGGGAAATTTATATTTATGACAATGTTTAGTAATATAGGTGTAGTTCTTTTGTTAAATGTCAAAAGTATAGGCAGGTGTTGGCGCATTTTGTTTTGAGAAATATAACTTGTATATGTAAACATTGAACACACACACACACACACACACACACACACACACACACACACACACACACACACACACACACACACACACACACACACACACACACACATATATATATATATATATATATATATATATATATATATATATATATATATATATATATATATATATGTATGTATGTATGTATGTATATATATATATCACACGCCACACGCACTGCATACCGTGTTTTCCCCATTTGTATTTGGCCCGATATGTCTTGGTTCGCAATACTCCCGTCCTGGCCTCAAACAGTAGAGAACTACCCAAAGTATTATCATAGATCCTTTCCTTGGCAATTTCCTGCTTAAAAGTTTGATAGATCTCTAGCGCGGACTTCTTAATCATGCCACTTCTCCACATATCGGTCTCCGTTTCCTTCACCTTCTTCTTGACCGATAGCTCTTCATGGTTTAGCCCCTGCTATTTTCTAAGCATTTACTCGTCAATTTTCTGGTTCAGTTTCTCCATTTTGTATCGACATTCTTTATGTAAAAGTAACTAAAAAACTTCCTAGCCCAACGCTCCTCCCCCATTTCTCTCAATCGCTTCTCAAATTTTATCTTGCTGCTAGCTTCCCTGCCCTCAAATGATGTCGATCCCATATCACCTTTTACTCCCTGATTTGGTGTATTCCCGTGGGAGTCGCTTGCTGGATTCCGTGCCGACCGGTTGTGCGCGCGCGCTCTCCGCGCGCTTGCGATCTGCGGCGTCAGCGTAGCTCTGGCCGACTGGGCTCGTCCTACGTCACCTCTTGCCGTCGACGGCCTTCAACGGCAGTGTAGCTCTGACCGACTGGACTTGCTCTACGCCATCTACCGACGGCGACAAGAGCTCTCGCAAGTGTGCCCCGTCCTCGGACTCCAGTGACCGTGCTTCCATCTTTCCTATCTCTCCTATCCCCTCAGTTTGTTGTCGCTTCTTCTTCCTCTTTTCTACACCTTTACTCCAACCCTTTTTATCCCTCCTCACCCCAATCACTTGTAAGCTACTGTGGAGGTATCGCTCACTGGAGCAGACAGTAACGGGGCTCACTTTCTCTCTTAAGAATCACTCATCATGTATTCCCATGAGCTCCTAAAACAAGCCTACCTATTCCACGTTGCTTAATTTATAATCTTGCTTGAACTTCTGATCTCATGCACAAGACCGCATTGCCGAACGTCAGACCGATGGATGGATGGATGGATGGATTTGGCTGTACCCTTTAAATGAGGCGGTGGAGCGGCACCAAGACGTAATACTTAATGAACTAAAAACTAGATTTATTTTTTTTTCTTAAATAGTGAGGTTGAGGATTTGTACTTTGGAGCGAAGGGTTCAATTTTCACTCGTGCCTTGACTTTAGCCACCGATCAGATAACCTCCTTCTAGTGAATTCTACCCACTTAAGGTCTAATTTTGCCCTAACTGTCACTAAACACCAGTGCTTTGAAAAACTCTGCGCCGTCAATTTGAACTACAGGGTGAAGCTCTTTACAGAACATTATCAAGTGTTCGGCAGTTTCTTCTTCCTCTCCACACGCACTGCATACTGTGTCTACCCCTTCGTATTTGGCCCGATATGTATTGTTTCGCAATACTCCCGTCCTGGCCTCAAACAGTAGAGAACTACCCCGAGTGTTATCATAGATCCTTTCTTTGGCAATTTCCTGCTTAAAATTTCGATATATCTCTAGTGCGGACTTCTTAATCATGCCCATTTTCCACATGTCAGTCTCCGTTTCCTTCACTTTCTTCTTAACCGATAGTTATTTTTGGTTTGGCCACCTGCTGTTTTCTAAGTATTTACCAGTCAACTTCCTGGTTCGCTTTCTCCATTTTGTATCGACATTCTTCATGTACAAGTAGCTGAAAACCTTCCTAGCCCAACGCTATTCCCCCATTTCTCTCAATCGCTTCTCAAATTTTATCTTGCCGCTAGCTTCCCTGCCCTCAAATGATGTCCATCCCATATCACCTTGTACTCCCTGATTTGGTGTATTCCCGTGAGCTTCTAAAGCAAGCCTACCTATTCCACGTTGCTTAATTTCTAATCTTGCTTGAACTTCTGATCTCATGCACAAGACCGCATTGCATAATAGTGTCGGTCGCGAGCGCCACCGCGCGGAGATTCTTTAAAACTGAAGGCAGGCCAACTTCGCTGGGAGCGTGAGCCATTCCTCAGAAATCTTTCTAAAGGAGGCGTTGGTTTGGCCAACGCCTCCTCTAGAAGATGCCTGCCGCATGAGAAGAAAAACGGCTGCCACATCCTTTCTTTCTTTTAATTTAGAATGTTCTCGATTGCTAGCGTCCCCTGTGGCGGATAGTGCAACAACGCAACACTTTGCATAGCTTCCGAAACAGCGGTGTACAGTTGCAGATCTCGAACAACTCTCAACTGACATGCCCGTATGGGCCGCAGATAAAAAACGCTTAGCTGGTACCGCCCGCTGCCGTGATGAATGGATGGATGGATGTGGCTGTACCCTTTAGATCGGGCGGCGGCTAACGCCACCTAGCCGTAATACTTAGTGAACTAATCATTACATTTATCTTTTTTTCCCTTTAAATAATGAAGTTGAGGATTCGTACTTCACAGTGAAGGGTTTAATTTTCACTCGTGCTTTGACTTTAGCCACCAATCAGATAACTGAATGGATGGATGCTATGAGCGTCCCCTTTATAACGGGGTGGTGACAAATATGCCACCAGGCTCGACAAAAAAAAAAAAAAAAACCTTTTTTTTTATGTTAGCCTAATGCCTCTACTTCGATAAATTCTATCTTAATGGAAAAAAAGGTAAATTTTCAGCTTAAGTTCTCTGCCATTTACGGCACACTGTCCATATTTTATTTTTCCAATATTTATTTTTGTCCTTTCTCTCTAATTTTCTTACCAGGGCTGCCGGCGCCCCCTGTTGGCTCGGCTCGAACTAGACGCGACGGTGCAATAGAATGGAAAGCGCGGGGATCGAGCGGGCACAGAAAGTATATAGGAGGCTATGCACTGCGAGATGGTAGCCGCCTGCGATGTGTGTAGGTGGTGAAAACTCCGCTGAAATCGTGGCCATGGCCTAGGCCACTCCCAAGGAGGACTCGACTGTCGTCGCTGCTTTATGTGATTGCTGGATGCTTAGTTGAACCTGGTGGTTGGAGCTAGCGCGGCCGTTCACCGCGCCGCAGCTTCATCTGAGTGTGTGCGCCATAAAGTTTCTCAGTATGATGCGCGGATTACAGTTGTTGGACGTACTGCATTTTCTAGATTGCAATGCCAAGCGTGGTGTTGTCAAAGGTGAAAGTGTTCTTGCTGCCAAGTTTTGCTTGTCGCGAAGGACAAGGGCGACGATGAAATAAATGCTTTCGCACAGTTCACGTGTGACTGACCGGACGCACATGCATGAAACCCCAGTGCGTCGGCGAAGTGTTCATACGGTGGATGGAAACAACTTTATTGTAATGTTCTTACGAGGCCTGTGATCTACGAAGGCCAGAGCTACTGCATTGCCGTCTGTTTTGTCAAGTGCGAACTCGTACGGACGTTCTCATCCGTTGCTACGTGACTGCTCCCATGCTGTCACAGGCCGCGCGTGTTATTGAGCAAGGCAGACAAGCTGTTTTGTAGTTAGATGGGCTAACGCCATCGGCACTTGCCCTTGGCCATTGTTTATCAAGTGCTGATCGCCTAGAACATTGCGGTGACCCGTCAGTATATTTAGCGAAAGCGGCCTGCCGGTTACCTCGTCAGGTGATGGTACACTGAGCGACATAAAAAAAGTTGCCCGAGACTACGTTGCAGTGCACCTTTCTGTCATCAAAACTTTGATAAACCGTGGAAATCAACATTCCTGACACCTGTGCCAAAGAAACCAATGCAGCCAGCTGCATTCGAGTTTTTTGTGTCTTTTTGCGTCTCGCAGATTAAGAGCACTAATTCGCAAAACATTTATGATAATAAATATAGTCAATCCTGCAAGAGTCATCGAAGATCCAATAATAAAGGGCCTGTGGATGGGACCACCACCAGCAGCAATTCGGGCTGATGAGGAGGCGCAAATGTTAAAACATTACATGCGTGAACAAAAAAAAAAAAGAGAAAGTATCGATAACTGCAATGAGACTTGAACTACCGACCTCACCAGTTCATGTGTAACTTTAACCAACTACGCCACAACTGCCGATCACTTTGCGAGGGCAAACAAGCCGGTTCTGTATAGTTGTCACGCTAAACCTAACAAGCATTTTTGTTCACTTTTTTGTTTGGACGTAATTTTAACTGCTTTTATTGTCATGTCTAGACGTACCGCTAGACACTCCCGACTATTCAAACAAAGCGCCTAGCCGAAAAATGCATAACGTCACTTCCGTGCGGTGCAGCAGCTCTTTCTGTCACATTCTGTGTGGGGTTGCTTGTGCACCGCGCGGTATAGCAGTCTCTGCCAAAATATTGCGAAGCTACATGATCCCCCCCCTCCCCCCCCCCAATGTCATTAGCGCTTTATCTTTGTGATTTCATAGAATAAAATGAAGTTTAAAGCTTTGCAATGTGTACTGCAACATTTTTACACCTTCATCCCGGTGGTTTTAGCGAATATTTTCAAACCTATGCATGAACAAATGTACCTCTATATCATAAAAGTGAACTTTGAAATCGTTTTGCACAACACAAACACACCAGTCTTCAAAAAACCGCTCTCCACAAATAACTAGAAATATCAGGAACTTTTTTTCTCCAGAGAGGGAAAAAGTGGCTCCGCAGGTTGGCAGCACTGCTGTGAAGGCACAGTTTTTCCCACGATGATTTTTCCCCACAGAACACCTACCAGTTTCCCTTCTGCGAGTTGGTGGTGTGCACGGGTGGTGTGTGAGTGGTCGCGTTGTCGCCGGCAAATGCGCGCGCGTTTCTGTGTTGAACCAACGAGTATCCTATCTCGTTCGCCTTCCTAAAAGCTGTCGGCGAATCAGAATGTCAGGTGAAGCGAGTGAGAAGCTACTTACCATCGATGGCAGCGTTATGGAAGGCGTGAGTACCGACTGACGAAGATAGCCTCGCTCCAAAGTGTCAAATGAGAGTCACCTTATATGAGGGCTATCACTTGTAATGCGCTGTCTTGCAGCATTAGTACAGGCGGAATGACACTTGTCGAGAGCGCCCAGCAGGCCGTTTGAGCTGCCGCTTTCTGCAGAAATAGGCTAAAACCGACGCGCAGTGATGATTCTTTACCTATTAGTCGTACTTCATGCTAGGTCCTTGTGTTGCAATTCAAGCCACAACGTAAGCTTGCAGCTAACGTGAGGTAGCGGCTGCGAACAACAGCTTTTACAACCACGTGCTGTGCCGCTCATGGTTTCACTTTGTCCGTTCAGAAACGAAAGACTGGCATTTGCGCAGGTGTCATCGTCTCTGTCTGTCGTGCGCTATGTTTTGTGTGGAGTGCACTAAGTAGCCCTGAAACAGATGCTCATGGGCGTGCGAACAAGGGTGGGGGAGGAGAGCGGCTCCATGAACTTAGGAGGGCCAGAAACTCGGCCTCATACATGAGCTTCATAGTGAGCGGGGAGCGCTGGGAAGAACTTTCGCTTCCCCCTTTATGGGAACCCTGCGCACGCTTAGGCGCGTGCTACTGCTTTGTCCGTTGTGTAGCGCTTCTATATAGGAGTAGCAGGTTCTATGCGCAGACATCCTTCAATTGACAATGCCGGATGGCATTCGTTTTCAACATGAAGTGTTTCATACGACCGGGCCCACCAAGACAACAGTTACGTGTTTTCGTCACGAAAATGATGTTGAAAAAATCAACACGATCAGAAGGCAAAGAAAAAAAATCTATCAATGGGAGTTAAACCCACGACCCCTGGGATAGAGTGCCCGTCAACAGATGACGGGCACTCTATCCACTGCGCGACGGTCACACACACTGTAAGATTTAAATACATGTAACACTCTCGTCTCACAGTGCTTTTGGTAAAGTGAACTAATGCATCACGACAGTGTCATCCACCATTAGCTGCTTCAGTGCATTTTTTCTATTCGCCCATCTTATTCGGCACGTTTCCACTAGAAGTGCAGTTTATGTAGACGCCTTAACACATCACCAGGTGACAATCATAGCCCAAGCGTTGCCCTCGCTCATAGCGCTTACCCTTAAACAAAAAAAAGTTCTGTGACGTGTGCCTGCCTCGCCTGGCTGTAACTCCTCATTCCTTCTTATCTGAAAACCGTGAAAAATCGCGGCTGGCCAACAGGGAAGACATGACGCGCCGTGCGTTTCCCTCTGGTCAGGCAGTGGTGTTCAACAAGTTTTACGTTCCCCGAGTAGCTAACCTTAGTGCACGATCGGCGTCCAATCAGTGATGCTCTTCAGGCTGTCACGCTGCTTTCTCAAATTCCGATCTCACCATTAAAGTGGCCCTGCGTCGCCTTTTCTTCTGCATTCTGCTTAACTGGAGTCAATGTAGTGCCAAATACTGAGATGAATGCAAAAAGAAGGATAGAAATCCGCACATGGTGACAAAAGTCATTGGCCTTTAAACTTCAGAACTCTAGCAGAAGATCAGAAAAAAAAATTTCTCTTTCGCATTTCACTCCCCACTGACATCAAGGGCCACTTCTAATCATCATGTCTCCTACAAAGACATACTGGATGACTTGCTTCGTGGTGGCTGTTATGCAGCGTTCCTAGTGTCGTTTTGTGTATGTTTTCACACTTTCAAAAGAGAAATCCTTTTGCATCTGAGGATGTATGAAGGGTGCCTTTTATAATATTTAGCACACCTATCAGGAACCGTGTAAATATTATGTGTTACTTGTTGCGTCATACCAGTCAAAATCACAGCCTATGTTGTCGCTCCCTCTTAGGGAAGCGTTGCTTTGGATCACAAATATAGCCGCAGTGTGTCACTCTAGTTCAAAAACAGTGTGGTTTCTGTATTGAAATAAAATCCTGACAGCTTTGTTTTTGGCATTGCTATGTGTATAACGATATCGGTGTATTACACAGTTTTGAGAAGCGATGAAAACACGCTTAGTTTGTGTTGAGGGCCACTTTAACTACGGCAGCTATCACAAGCATTTATGACCACAACAAAGGTTTGTTTAATCATTGATCATGGACGCTAGTCATCAGAATGGAAATGTGGATGCATTCGCATTAAATGGTGCTATAGCTGTCGCACATGAATGTACAGTATAGTCCACTGTTAGGGGGAACACGCGAGCGCGTGGCCGGCGGTCCGTGGGGCGCCAACTGCTGGCGAGATTTGAGAATGCGGGGCATGCGTGCTGAATCGCAAGGGCAGTACTTGCCTGCATCATCTGCTTCTTCCTTGCCCTACGCTTCGCGCGTGCTAGCGCCAAGGTTGCTGTGCTCGCTTCATCGACCATCGATTTTCATGTCTGTTATCAAAAGCGACTGTCCGGTTCGAACAGCATTTGGAAAGCTTATAATTACATTTTTGGTGAGCACAAGCACCAGGCTGCGCGAGTGATGGGCTTCATTATCACTTTCGCAGAATTGCACAGCTGGGGGCGTATTTACTCGCTGATCGCATTTTCGGCAGAGCTAGTTCTTAGAAGCGGCATGGCTAGAGTACCTGAGGACGAAAGGCTTCAAATAGTTGAGCTGTACACCAAAGAATAGAGCCAGCGGGCTGTCACTGCCGTCGCGAAAAGGCCACTTTCTCATCACCAGCGTAATCATCAGCATTACAAATGTAATTTTTAGTAGTGCCTAGTTCTGTCATGCATAGTTTTATTTTGCTTAGACAGATCTGCATTTTATTTTGTTTCGCAGGGCACAGATGTGTTTCATTACCATTGCGTTATTCAAATGTTTCGAGGCTACAGATCTGAGCTCCCTCGACCTGTTTGTTACAAAGGTTTTAGGAATAAATTTTCTTTTACTCCGTTCTGTTTTACGTACAGCACTTTTCAGCGCGCGTATTAGTGAAACCTAATGATTTTCAGAAAAGTGAATGCTATCACATATTCCGAATGAGGAGCTTCTAGCGTTTTCGCTTCAATGTAGAAAAAAAACAACAACGAAATGTAACGTAAGTTATAACTAACATATGCTGGGTATTGCAATCCTCAATAATTATATAATTTTGTGTCTCGCCGTAGTGGGATGCATTAAAGTAATTCCAAACACGTGTTTCCTTAACCTTTATCTAAATACTATAGGCACATGGCTTTTTTTTTGTATTTCGCTTCTATATTGAAGTCGGATGCTGTGGCCATGAATGGAATCGCAACAAAGCTGCCGAGAAAGCACAACAACAAAAAACGCACTTTTTTCTGCGCGCTGATTACCCGGGGAGGAGCAGGGAGAGTGGCAGGGACATGAATCGCACTGCGGAAAAGCGAACGCGGTATCCAGTGCACTGCCAGCGCCGAAGCGGGAAGTAGCAGACAAAACGCAACAAGCCCCACCCTTTCGCGCCTGTGCCCATGCGCGGTGTTTATAAATCTCGCCGCCAGTTCGTGCCATGCGGGCCGCCAGCCACGCGTTGCTGTGTTCCCTCTAAGAGTGCGAGCTTTCTTATGTCAACACACAGTAAATGTTCAACTTAGTTCGTAAGGACACGTTATAGTGATTCCTATGACGACGGGATAGCAATGTTGTTTCATTATATTTTTTTCTTAGGGAGGGCAGGTTCTGCGGATGGCCGTTGCGTTCAGTGCACTGTTCCGAAAGCCAGTGCATGTAACTAACATACGAGCTGGGAGGAGCAACCCGGGCCTCAGGTAATGGCTACACTGTTTAATTCTTAGCGCTGTCATAAGCACTCCAGCATCGTTTGTATACACAACTTGTTTGTGCTAGTTGTATCGACATGTGGCTAAAAGAGAGCATTGCTCATTTCGCATAGTCAGCATCTCTTGACTTCAGCTGATTACTTTTTTGCGAAGGCACTCTAAAGTATGACAGGTCGTTCGATGTGCTGCGTTCCAGAGCCAAGGTCAAAAGTATTAATTTTCATTTCTCGACATAAACGAACCCACTAACTAATTGTATAGACCAGTGAAGGCTATGATATCATTTTTTTTATGTCAAAATGGAACATGACTGACTATAATCAAGTATTTAATTACATGCTCATTGTAGTCACTCACAAGGAACTATACGTCATTTTTTTTTTTTGGAATGAGTATGTAAATTTGACACACATGTGCATCATGGTTCGCACCGGATTTGTGATTGCAGGCCACAGCATTTGACTGGTATAAACTTGGTGAGGGACATCTGTGGAGGCCGCCTGGTGAACGCCGTCATTGGTTCGACGGAGATTGAGTTGTACCCCGGTCCCATTCGGGGTGGCGTCTTCTCTGCCGACACTGGCACAGCTGGGTGAGTGTATCAATGGTGATGTTATAAACTGGGCACAGGGATTATAACTGCTTTTTCTCAGATATGTAAAGACTTCCAATTCATCAACACTGTTGAAATTTGAGCTTGCTGCAGCTACTAATGATGAAAAATAGTGCTTAGTGATTTCACACAATCTGAAGAAGTCAGCTGTGCTTTCTGAGGTTAAGCAGCTCCCAAACGGTTGGCTAGCCTTTGTGATAAGAAGCACCAAACTGCATTTTTTTGTTGTTCAGTAGCACTTTATATGATATCCTGATTTCCCGTGGTGGTCAATATATCGCACAGAAAAAGCTTTGCCACGTAGATAAATGGAACATTCAAACAATGTTAATATTGTCACGACTAAAGGCTGGGAAAGAAGACAGAGAACGATGAAGTGATGAGCATGGACAGCACCCACGGTTCCTCCGAGGAAGAAAAAGTCGAAGCGGCTGCTCTTTTGTTCTGTTAATACAGACCTCGTTTTTTCTGGTCGCACAGTCGTCCTGTATTCTGTTATTTTCACCTAGCGACATTGGTGGAGGTACTGGACTTCTCCAAGTGATGCTTGGGACAACTCCGCGCCCTAGCACATCCAGTCCACCACCGCAATTCGTTCCTGCAGTGGATACTCCTGTCCACCGCTACAGTCGCCGACAACGAGGCCTTAGTCCCGAGGCGATCCCGCTCGAACTTCTCCAGCAACACACCGTACCAGGAGAAATGGCTACCGGAGGGCCTTCACAGCTTACTGTTGATCAGCCTCTAATTCCTGAGACCTTCCACGGTGAGGTTTATGAAGACGTCGAGGACTGGTTAGCCCAGTATGAGCGAGTCGCCAAAGCCAACCGCTGGCCCACTGAACAAAAGCTATCGCGCGTCTACTTTGCTTTGGCAGACAGCGCTCGTACGTGGTACGAGAACCACGAGTCAACGCTGTCTTCGTGGGAGGAATTTCGGCAGCAAATTCTCGGGACATTCGCAAACATTGACCGCCGTGATTCTGCTCTGCAGCTCATCGAGGCACGCATACAGAAACCAAACGAGAGCGTCGCCATGTTTGCGGAAGACATGGCCCGCATATTTCAGCGGGCCGACCCCGAGATGCCTGAAGGTAAAAAGCTCCGACATCTAATGAGGGCCGTCAAGGAAGAGCTGTTTGCCGGTCTCCTACGCAACCCACCAACAAGCGTAGTGGAATTCGTCAAAGAGGCTACAACAATCGAGCGAGCACTGCAGCAATGGCGCCGATACCATTACTAACCGATCAAAACATCTCCCAGTCTCTCTGCTTTGAGTGCCGGTAGTGAGGGTTCTCTGCGCGAACTCATTCGTGAGGTCGTTCGGGAGGAGATCCGAAACCTCCTTGTGACTCCGCAAGAAAATACCATGGCTTGCGTTGCAGAAGTTGTGCGGCAAGAACTCCGCCAGGCATTTTCGTTGCCCGAATCGCCTTCAGACCAGCGGTCTGTGAGCTACGCATCAGCTGTCCGTCGACACACTCCAGTGTCCTACAACTCGTCACCACTGGCTTATCGTGACGTGAGCCAAGGGCCTTACAACGAGCCGTGGGCCCCAGCTCCCAATCCGCTGCAGCCGTATCCACAGTCCAACATGCCTATGCAAACGGCGCCGATGTACACTCCGCCGACATCTGCATCTTGGTCGCAAGGTATGCCCACCAGCCGACCATTCATCCGTAAGACGGACTTGTGGCGCACCGTCGACCGTCGACCACTTTCTTTCATTGCGAAGAAGCCGGCCATGTTTTCCGCAATTGCCCGTACCGTGACCGTAGACATCATAACTTTCTACAAACCTCCCCTCGTGCCTATTTCGATAACCGCTGTGACAGCAGTGCAGGCCCGAAAGCAAGCACAGCAACCCGAAGTGCCGTATCGTCGACCCCGCTCTCCTTCACCTGCATCGAACTCGCTGCCGCAGGGCAGTTACTCCGAGGTGGTCTGGGGCAGATCTCCTAGCCCTCGTCGGGGAAACTAACAGCTGCGACCTTTGGGGGGAAGGTTGCCGGCCGTCGAGATGCTATCACACCCCCAACATCTTCTCTACGACGCGATACGACGAATGATACCACGGATCGTACGACGCACGATACCAAGGACGATACGACGTCACCGACATCAACGGAAATCGTAAGCGCCAATCTAGACATTTGTACAGACGGACGCCCAGTAACAGCACTGGTAGATACTGGTGCGGACTTCTCTATTATAAGCCGTAAACTCGCTGACTGCCTAAAGAAAGTAAGAACAATATGGACGGGCCCAAACATTAGAACCGCAGGGGGTCAATTGGTGACGCCGACGGGCAAATGTACAGGTCGAATTAATATCGGCAGTTCAGATTTCGTCGCTACTTTCGTAATTTTACCAGAGTGCTGCAAAGACCTGATCTTGGGCATGGACTTCTTGCGTGAATACGGTGCCATTATCAACATTCCTGAGAGATCGGTTACGTTTTGGATGGCCCCAGATCAAGTTTTGGATGTGCCCTGTACAGACCAGCGACGTCAGCCTTCGCGCGTCTTCGAAGACGACGTGACCATTCCACCGCGGTCGAGTGCGCTCGTGGCTGTGACATGTGACAAGTCGAGCGATTCTAAAAACATCGCCGAGCAAATTCCAACACTGCTATTCAGCCATGGTTTATCTATCTCAAGAGGCGTCGTAAGCATAAAATGCGGACACACGCACGTCCTTGTTACGAACTTCAGCTCTGAACGCCGACATCTAACGAGGGGCATGGCAGGCGCGTACGTGGAAGAGCTCGCCGAGATCACAGACTGCCTAACTCTTGAAAAAGATAACTCAACTGATCTGACCCCCGCACCTCTATCTGTTGATATTGGCCGAAGTTTGCTGCCGGCGCAGAAGCAAAGTATCATGCAGCTTATAAACAAGTTTGAAGATTGTTTCTCTTCGATTTCCAGGGTCCGTCAAACGCCGCTGACGAAATATCGAATTATAACGGACGACATGACCAGACCCATCAGGCAAAACCCGTACCGGGTAGCTCCGCGAGAACGTGAAGCCATCGAAAAGCAGGTGTGACAGATGCTTGAAGACGACGTTATTCAGCCGCCGAAAAGCCCTTGGGCTTCGCCGGTTGTATTAGTGAAGAAAAAAGACGGCACCTTACGTTTCTGCGGGGATTACCGCAAGCTGAATCAGGTGACAAAAAAAAAAGACGTCTACCCACTTCCACGTATCGACGATTCACTCGATGGACTACGCCACGCGCGTTATTTCTCGTCGATGGATCTAAGGAGTGGGTATTGGCAGATAGAAGTCGATGAAAGAGACCGGGAGAAAACAGCTTTCGTGACACCTGATGGCCTCTTTGAATTTAAGGTACTTCCATTTGGCTTGTGCTCAGCACCGGCAATGTTTCAGCGGCTAATGGACACTGTACTATCAGGCCTCAAGTGGCAGACGTGCTTAGTGTATTTAGATGATGTCATCGTATTTTCTGCCTCATTCGACGAACACGTCAGGCGACTGCACTCAGTATTTCTAACTATCCGTTCCGCCAGACTAACACTTAAGCCGGAAAAATGCCATTTCGGCTTCGAAGAGCTTCTGTTCCTGGGGCATCTTGTCAGTAGGGAAGGTGTGCGGCCTGACTCTGAAAAAATAGCTGCCGTTACGAATTTTCCAGCGCCAACTGACAAAAAGGCGGTCAGACGGTTTTTAGGACTGTGTGCTTACTACCGACGCTTCATTGAGAACTTCTTGCGCATTGCCTCGCCGTTGACCCGCCTTACCAGAGAAGACGTCGCATTCGTATGGAATGAAGAGCAGCAAAAATCGTTCGACGAGCTGCGGCATTGCCTTCAGAAGCCACCAGTCCTCGCACACTTTGATGATGACGCACCGACAACAGTGCACACCGATGCTAGCAATGTCTGCTTAGGAGCTGTACTCGTGCAGTGGCAGGATGGCGCCGAACGAGTAATAGCTTACGCGAGTAGAACTCTTTCACGTGCGGAAGAAAATTATTCCACTACGGAAAAAGAGTGCCTTGCGGTGGTGTGGGCGGTTATAAAATTTCGCCCATACCTGTATGGTCGTCCTTTTAATGTTGTCAGCGACCATCACTCCCTCTGCTGGCTTACGAATTTAAGAGACCTTTCAAGACGGTTGGCGCGCTGGAGCCTGAAGCTTCAAGAATTTGACATGACGGTGGTCTACAGATCGAGGAAGCGACATTCAGACGCTGATTGCTTTTCTCGTGCGCCATACGAACCTGTGACGGCAGAAGATGACGATACAGCCTTTGTCGAAGTTGTAAACACGACAACTGTCGCACAGCTGCAGCGAGACGACCCCGAACTAGAACCCATAATACGTTTTTTAGAGGGTCGCACTTCAGCTGTACCTAGACTGTTTGCGAGAGGGCTTTCGTCATTTTGCTTGCGCAACGACGTCCTGTATAAGATGAACTTCACGCCACACGGAAACGGCTACTTACTCGTCGTCCCAACATCTCTAAGGAGCGAAGTATTACAGACATGCCACGATGAACCAACATCCGGCCACCTGGGTTACACGCGTACGTTGTGCAGAGTGAGGCAGAAATACTACTGGCCAAGACTGACGGCGACCGTTCAACACTATGTTCGGACGTGCCTTGATTGCCAGCGCAGGAAAGTTCCACCCGTCAAACCAGCACGCCTCCTCCATCCTATTGACGTGCCTGTTACTCCATTCGCTCAAGTCGGAATGGATCTTTTGGGCCCATTTCCAACCTCATCAGCAGGTCGCAGATGGATTATAGTAGCCACCGACTACCTCACTCGTTACGCCGAAACCAAGGCTTTGGAGAGGGGCACGGCAAGTGAAGAAGCCCGATTTTTCGTAGAGAATGTGGTGCTGAGGCATGGTGCTCCATTAGTGGTAATAACTGACAGGGGAACTGCATTCGCAGCCAAACTATTACAGACAGTTTTAAAACTTAGTGGCACATCCCACCGGGGAACA